CATGCTGGCTGGGGAATTCTGGGAGTTGAAGTCCACCCGTCTTAAAGTTGCCGAGGTTGAGGAACCCTGCCCTAAAACATTGTCCAGACTTCTATATATCACCCAACGGTTGGTGGTAAAGAAACAGCAGAAAAAGGAAAACTCTTAACTGCATCAGAAGCGCTATCAGTTTCCAGGTGAAGACTTAGAAAGAGGGTACCCATCAGCACACCCAGAGCAGTTTTCCTTTCTTTAGAAAGCAGTTGCTGATATAAAAATCTATGGAGCATCAGGACCACCTAGTGGCTGAATGTATTTAAATTCATTTCCTTTCTCTCTGTCTCCCTTAACCTAATACAACTGACAGGTTTTCACTGTATCCTCTCCAGGGACGCCCCCCACCTTCTCCTCCTGTGTTCTGTTTTTTGTTAGGATGGAAGCTGAAATATGAAACGGTATCCCACCCCCGCAACACACACACACACACTCACACACTCCCCTGCATTCTCTGGCTCAGGGAGCAGAATGTAGGACGGGTTGCCTGACCCAGCCTGTGAGTGGGTGGGCTGCACACTTCCTGACCTGCTGGCACCCTAATTCCCAGTATACTTTCTCTCTTTTTCTTCTAAAGGAGAAAGACGTCTGTCTGGCGACAAGGCGGTGACTTCATTGCATTTGATGACCTGACCCTCGTCTGTGCAACTCAATACTTACCCAGGAATAACTTTTTGTCAAGTTTAGCTCCAGGGCGGTTTGTACAGTTATTTACTTCTGGAGCAGCTCATTCATCAGGTGGATTCCCTTGAAATCCTCTGGTTTGAAATCAAGTGGAAGGATGCGGAAGGGAGTCTCCAATTCATCCTCACCGGGTCCCAGCTGGGTCTTTGGGTTGGAGGGCAAAAAAGTCAGGATGGCAGCTGTGATTACCCAGTGGAAGCCTTGTCCCTTTCCTATCTGCATCGTGATGCATGTAAAAAGGGGCAGAGCTTCAGTCAAATGGTTGTGACTACCATCTTGACTTTTTTGAGACTCCTGCCTGGGGCTCTCCTCATTGTCACTCTGTGTACAAATAGCAAACTCGGTTCTCCA